GCCCAGGATCATAAAGATAATCCTTTCTCTTTTTTTTTTTCCTTTTCTTGATCGGCGTGTAGAGAATCAGACAAAGCCGACGGGAATGATGTCAAAATTGCGATATGTTGAGTTGGCTTCTGATCTGTCTCGTGTCATTTGAATTGTAAATTGTAGGCAAATTGACGGGGCTTGATTCAAAGACTTCCGAGACTAGATTCGAATTTTGCGACTGGTCTTAATAAGTGAGTTATTGCACGGGAGCCCGCGTGAAAGACCGGGTGGCCTTAATTAATAGCCGAAATACCTGGGATCGGTGGGTTGGCTAGGGGATTACTTACCTAGGCATCATATGTCATCCCCCTTGGTTATTAGAGTTGTGAGTATCTTGCTTCTTTTCTTGGGTCTAATACTATTGTAGGAAACTAGCAAACCCGATGGAGACCGACCACGCGAGAAAAGAAAAATTAAATAAATTATTCGGAGGGATCCGTCTCTCGTTCCTGCGGCTGTTTTGCCCTTTTTTTTTTGCTCCACTTATGCACCAAGGCTGCCCGGAGATTTGGTTCCTAGCTTTATAGTGGAGAGCTTCTACGGCTAGTTGATACATAATAGCGGAGAGTTTTGGACTTCTGGACTTCTGGACTTGACAGTAGTGAAGACATGGGTTAGATGTATCTCAGATGTACTTGTGATGAATCAGAGGGTACCTTTTTTTATTATTATTATTAATTGATATATTCATTTGATTTAAATGGCATATTTGGCCGAAAACCGACTAAATAGGTAAGCGTATAGATTAGAAACGTTGGAGAAAGGAAAGGGGGAACATTTCGTGTGTTCCTGTTCCCCGGGACCAGGGGACGGGAGAGCCGCTGTACTAAAAACGAAAAATAGAATAGAAAAATATAAGAAAAATATATAAAATACATAAAATATATATGATTTTTTGGATTTTATTTTAATTGATTTTATTTTGATTTGATTTTCAGGCCTTTATTGATTTTCTAATAAAAAAAAAGGATAAAAAGGATAAATTTAAATTTAAAATCCAATGCTACGAAAACCGTCTATATCAACGTAAATCCCCCCTTCCTATTTCCTTTTCAACATACTTGATAACCATCTTTCTACACATCCACCCCCTACCGCCCTCCTTTCCTCTCCCTTCTCCCTTGCGATACGTCGATTTGAACTTTGTCCGGATCGACCGGAGCCAGTTCCGGAGCACTTCCTCCTTTGCTCCTTGCCGTCTTAAACTCATATCCCTTCTGACCCGTTTTCTTGGTTCGGATCGCGATTTTTATGGATTCGCTGCAGCCACCCTCGCGCATATCATTTTGAGAATTCGATTTATTCTTTGATTTATTCTATATCTACCACTCATAAAAAGCAACGAGCTGCGACCTGTCGTCCACCATCTTGCTTTTTCCCACAAGACACTCGATTCTCATTTGTTGAGCCCATTTCGTCACATTCCTGCCCTACGATTCTGTTGGATCCCGCGTTATCCTAGTGGTGATTCTACAAAAGGACCGACTTTTCCGATCCGGACTGCATTTGCATCTATCGCCTGCACCACCGGTTCTTTTGTCTAGATCTTTTTCTTTTTCTAAAAAAAAAGAAATTTGATTTTCACGGGTGGTTGGATTGGTACTTCGTTTGTCTGCTTGTTTCCCAAATCTATATAAGATCCTGGCGTCGACGTCGTGTTTACTTGGTAAGTCTCACACCATCTCATCTCATTCCTCACCCTGTCATTGGCGCATTCGCGAATCACTCGCCTATTTCTATCACAACAAAAAAAAAACATTTCTACTTTCAGCATCTAACCATGACTTCCTCTGCAGACCTTAACATGATCCTTCGGGACCTATCTGCTTTCAACATGGGAAGAGGAGCCTACGACACGACTGGGGTGAAGAAGCCCGGCGTTCCTCCACCACCACCGAAATAAATTCAGTCGGAAACACCCTCGTCATACTCAACATTGCTTTCTACACCACTCGGTCATGTTTCGTATGGTCTGGCGCCCAACAGTGGCTGGAGTTTTTGACGCATATGCGTTTTGGAGTTTTACCTGATTTTGGTAAGACATGTCAACTCCGAGCACACAGCCTTGGGCATCAAAACTAACCAAATTCTTAGATATCTGTAACACTATCTTTTTTTTCCCTCTTTGTCCTCATCATGGGCCATACGTTTTTTCTTGCCTATTCGCTACAGACATCGCGCGACATTATACCCTTTTTAATTCGGCTCGACTTTCTGCCTTCAGCATTTTCTTTTCGGATACCAAGCGTTGACAACTTTTTTTCTTTTCTTCGGCCTTTCATCTCTCGTCTTCGCACATGCGCCTTATCCTTATTTTTCGGGCCTCGAAACCTTATTCCGCCTCACCTCACGTTCTACTTCTCTGATACGACTCGATACCACGGTCCCCATCTCAAAAAGTGCCTTTGTGTTTATTTGTGTTTCTTTTGTTTTTCGTTATCTACCGGCGTTTTGGCATAGACGGGACGGAATATTGATTGGGATGGGCTGATACCAAAATCTAGAGCCTCGACCTCACGGTCAATAGCATGCTTTGATTGCTTTTCTTGTTTTACTATTGGATGGGTACTGCTCCCGGGTTCATTTGTATGAGTTTTTGTACTATTTATCTTTGACGTTGATGCCCGTGTATTATATTTTGCGCACAAACCATAATTGTCAGCGCTAATGGATTATTATTATTATTATTCTACATTCTCGATCCAGCTAGTCTAGACCGCCATCGACGGCTTCATGTACATTTATAGATGCATTCTGTAACCCCGAGTTTGCAAACTCGTACCCATCTCACGTCGTACTCCGCTTGTACCTGACCGACCGCGGTTGCGCTACTATCGGGCAGATTTGCTTGCCGACTAATGCCGAGACAGGAACGACAGCCCGATTGTTGATACGGGCCTGGCTGGTGCATCGGCAGATATCTCCCGAGCCTGACCAGGGTCTTTCCTAAATGGAGCTCGACATCATCTTGCAGGCCAGTTGGGCACTGGCCCAAATTGCGACAGTTGTCCAGGTGCCAGAAACATGTTTGTCCCGCGGTAGCCTGTCTTTTATCAAGTCATATTACTTGTCTTGGGGTTCATTCTTTCCAAGTGTTCATATCCTGACAGCCATGTCCATGTTATCTGCATGCCATCGGTGCAGTGTATCCAATGATGTGAGATATCAACAATGCGGGAGATGATCCTAGAACATTGAATTTAGCTCTTATGTCAGTCTATTTAAATAGATACGAGAAGTAAATGAAGCCTCAAGTAGAAGTATGAGCGCAAATGCAAACATGCTAACAAGTATGTCAGTTGTATACTCCAACAGACGGGCTTCCCGTGACTGGTGACTGACGACCGCGCTAATCCCAATTGAGGCACCCGTCATCATCATCCACCTCCGCCTCTCCAACTTCAGGGTCAATCACTATTGTCTCAGTAACGTCTATACTACACTTTGCTTTTCTCATTCCTTGACAAGGATTGAATTAATTTACCAATACGAGCGCAAGAGCAGCGACTCGTTTTCCAGCTCCTGTCTTACTTCTAGGCAGCCTCATTCCCCGAACTGTGGTCACCAGCTGAATCAACCTGCCACCTCATCTGGTCGCCTGATCGCTGATCGATCGAAGGTGAATACCCTACAGAAGGCCTGACTTGTGGTTACTTTAATCTCACTGTTGTTTCGTTGTCTCAGCCATGTCCGAATCAGCGAGCGCAAATGCCCCGAAGCCGAGCAGCAGTGTCAAGCTTGTGCTGCTCGGAGAGGCCGCAGTGGGCAAGGTACTACTCCTCCATTCACCATGTCACACGATTATCAACAGCTAACCACTTCTTCTTATTCGCTCAGTCATCACTTGTCCTCCGCTTCGTCAACAATGATTTCCAGGAGAACAAGGAACCAACCATTGGCGGTAAGATTTCCCCATGGACTTAGCCCCCACAAGATACAAGGTACTGTCCCTGGCAGATGGTATACTTTCTGGAGAACCCAGGGGCAGTGTATTGTGTCCAAAATTGAGTTGTACCCCCGAAAACGGGCCACTCCAGCCGCTCAAATAGTGCTTTTCACTAGGATGACCAACTAACGTTATCTTCCCAGCCGCATTTCTGACACAAAAATGTTCCCTTCCTACGCGCACGATCAAGTTCGAGATCTGGGATACCGCCGGCCAGGAGCGATTCGCTTCACTCGCCCCGATGTACTACCGCAACGCGCAAGCGGCGCTTGTTGTCTACGACGTTACGAAACCCTCTTCGCTGACAAAGGCCAAGCACTGGGTCGCCGAGCTGCAGCGCCAAGCGAGCCCTGGGATTGTCATTGCCCTCGTCGGTAACAAGCTGGACTTGACCAACGATGGCGGGGATGTTTCCGAGGCTGCCGGCGCTGCACAGAACGAGTCTGATTCGGCCCAGGATGGCGATGAAGGCGGCGATGAGCAAGATGACGTGCAGGATGCTGTAACCGGCGATGCCCGCAAGGTGTCGACACGGGAAGCCACTGGCTATGCGGAGGAGGAGGGTCTTTTGTTCTTCGAAACTAGTGCCAAAACCGGAACCAATGTTGTGGATGTCTTCACGGCAATTGCCAATGCCATCCCAGAGAGCAGTTTGAAGACTGGTCGCAGTACCGGTGCAGGAACTGGCCAAACTTCGTTGGGTAACCGGTCAACAGAAGACGCACGAGTCAACCTGGGTGATCGAAACGCTGCTACGGCTAAGGAGGGCTGTGCTTGCTGATTTGAGTCTCTTTTTTTTGGCAGATGTTCTTGCAATTATTTCCATGGATACAGGCGTCCCTCTTGATTTTTCCCCCCATTCATTTCTTGCTTGTTCCGACTCCAATGGAGACTCCGTGTGCTCTTATAATCCACAGTGTGCTATTTCCCGAGAAACACCTCGTTTCAACAATGTGATTAGAGTGTAAAGTTTTTGAGATTTGCATTAGCAATCAGAAATCATCTCCAGCGTACCTACATAATGAAGAGTAGAACAATATGGTCAAAAAAAGGTCCTGGGGTAGTTGCCAACCAAAGGCGAGTCGGATAGTGGATCGCCTTCAGCGGCAATCCACCAATCAGCAACGAGCCCTAAGACGGCCACGCTAAACTTAAACAGGAAATAGCGCACCCTAAGCGAATGCGCCGATCCCACAGCAAATTCCCATTCGATTCAATCTGCGAACCTCCCCTCCGTCGACATCACCACCAGCACTTCCCGCAGCACCCCGTCGCTCGCAATAATGGCTGCCATCAACAAGATCGCCCCCAACTCGCCGTCCCGGCAGAACCCCTCCGAGCTGGAGACCGCGATCGCCGGCGCTCTCTTCGACCTCGAGAGCAACACACAGGACCTGAAGGCCAGCCTTCGTCCCCTGCAGTTCGTCTCTGCCCGCGAGGTAAGAATTGTTGTCCGAGGCTCCCGACATGCGAATTGAATCGTTCTGGAATGGCGTCTGTGAATTTTCGAGGGATTTTCGATGCTCCGGGGTACATTGGTCGGATTTGTGGATTAATTTCAATTCATATCCACCAACGTCAAAAATCACCAACATGGAGAGGAATCATCAGCAAAGGAGGCAGAATACAAGTGGATATGAAAATTCGCAGAGCAAGACGCCGTTCCAGGAGGAATTCTGTTCCTGTGTGCACGACACTTTCATCGGACAACGCTCTGACATTATTCTCGCTATTTAGGTTGAGGTCGGCCACGGCAAGAAGGCCATCATTGTCTTCGTCCCCGTCCCCCTCCTGACCAACTTCCACAAGATCCAGCAGCGGTAAGCAACCACCAGCCCTTCCAACACGAACGGGCCAACCCAGAAGAGGAAAAAAAAAACCACCTGAATAAGAACAACCAGAGGACTAACACTAAACCAGTCTTACCCGCGAGCTCGAGAAGAAGTTCTCCGACCGCCACGTTCTCTTCGTGGCTCAGCGCCGCATCCTGCCCCGCCCCAAGCGCTCCGCCAACTCGCGCACCACCCAGACCCAGAAGCGCCCCCGCTCGCGCACTCTGACCGCTGTCCACGACTCCATCCTCTCCGACCTCGTCTACCCCGTCGAGATTGTCGGCAAGCGCACCCGCACCAAGGAGGACGGCTCCAAGACCCTCAAGGTCATCCTCGACGAGAAGGAGCGTGGTGGTGTCGACCACCGCCTCGATGCCTACGGCGAGGTCTACCGCCGCCTCACCGGCCGCTCCGTTGCCTTCGAGTTCCCCCAGAGCGGCGCTGAGTTCTAAATGCACATTTAGAATTCATTGTTCACTTTGACTTTTTTTGGGGCTAGGGGCTTGGAATGTGCTCGGTTGATGCGTGGGAAAATGGCATTGTTTCTAGTTTTGAATTGTTGCTAGATTCAACGCCATTCATGGGTTCCAAAGAGATGATCTCCATAAAAATGCATTGACGGTTTTTTCTCTTTTCTTTTTTTGCCCCCAGTCACTGGTTGCATTGGTTTTTGTATCCGGTGTGAGCTCTGGGTGAGGCGATGGAGTTGAGTTCTCTCTCTGTCTCCCGATCTAATGAAGGTGGGATGGAATCTCTGATAGTATTCCAATTCAACAATTCCGACTTTTCATTACTTTTTCTTTAGATGGTTTTGTCTGGCTGGGATTGGGATCTAGCCTGCTTGTAGATTATAGGATTGATTACCCGTGGATGTCCAGATATAGTTGTTGAATATATCTCCATGGTTAAGTCAAGTAGCTCACATTCTACTGTTATGTTTACCTGGCAGTATCAAGTCGAAAGCTCGCTGGAAAATAGTATGTGGATGCTTCTATGAACAGAAAAGAGGGGGGGAAGAAACACCAAGTACACTAGGGGTATGAAAGGCATAATACGCAAAGCAAACCAGTCGACGCGAATATGAACAAGACGACAATCCCCTATTTGTCTACAACGAAGCCTGAATTCTCCCCACACCAAGCACCATCCAATAAGCCAACTCCCTGGTAACCTTATCATCAGGCTTAGATCCCTTCCCAACATTCTGCTGATCAAGCTGCGCATCCGCATCCCAATCCATATGTACGAAGACGGGAATCTCAAGCACATCCTCATCCTGCTTAGAAGCCGCAACCGCCAATATATCCTCGTCATTAGTCTCGGTATTGGGATTACCATCACCGCCTTCAGCACTACTCCCTGGCAACGTACCAGGGACAACCTCCAACACGACGGTGGTCCAGTTCCGGCCCTTATCCCAGACCTTGCCTGCCTCGGGGACTCCGCGTAGAGCTGCGGAGCGAGAGTCACTCGTTAAAGGCGCAGAGGCACCCTGCAACGCCTCGTCCCAGACATCGCTGTTCGCGCCAATCTCGAACTGCGGAGAAAGAACTGTGACTTTCGTTGCGACGTGGCCTGGGGTTACGGGGGGTGTGGCGAGGGTGATGCGGACGGGGTCGAACATGTGATTTTTTAGGGTAAGAAGGACGTGAATTGGGCGTAGGGGTGGGAGGGAGTTGAGGTCGGAGGTAGGGGCCATGGCTGGGAGCGCTGATGAGGAAGAGGGGGCCAGAGGACGGAGCGTTGGGAGCGGGATGTAGCTGAGGGCAATAAGGCGGATACGGAAGCGCGTAGATTGCGGCTTGCTCTCGGGCTTCACGAGGATGTGCTTGCAGGACTTGCAGCGCTTGGCTCGCTTGGTGCGGAGAAGGACTGGGAGTGGGAGGAGATCGTCGACGAAGCGGGCGTCCGGTGATTGGGTTGCGCGCTGGTCTATCGAGGCCATACCATCCCATCCACATTCTGGAGACTGAAGTCGTGCAATCATGTCCGTCTCGTTGTTTTCCAGGGCGACCTGAAGGCCCTCGCTTGCAGTCAGGGCCTCGCGCATAACAGGTGGCTTGGACTTGGGCTTCTTGCTGCCGCCATATAGCCCGCTTAGACGCGACGAAGATGTGTAGAGAGACATAAGCCGGTTTAGGGCGCCGGGCGAAGAGAACCCAAATTCTGAGCTAAGATGATCATTTGGCGAGTTTGATGTCTCGGCAATCTGGGTACGGTAAAAGTTTTTCAGGGCTGCAAACCGGGCATCTGTGCCCATTGGGGGTGCAGCCGGGTCGTCCTTTGGTGCAGCTTGCTCTCCATCACGCTCACGCGCACTGGATTGCTCGTCAACCGAGGCGAAGCTGGACAACGGATGCTTCAGATCTCCAAAATTACGAGAAGCTTGCCTCGAGCGGTCATGAGTAGCCGGGGGAGTGGAATCTGTCATCTTTTGTAGTTGACTACGGATATTTGTCGGCTTGTCAAATTTGATGCCGATGTCTAGCGTTGTCCAAAGACAGTATCCGCAAGACAACACCCATGGACCTTGTTGGGGCCCGTTCCCTGTAGCATTCTCGATGGTACTCACAGCCAGGGGAGCTGTACAAACAGGACAATTGAAGCAATTCCGGCCACACCTATAGACATGCATATTAGCGGATACTTGAACACAGCCGTTCACACCACCTAGTACATACCGATTACCATCACCCCGCACCATACTGCTCGGCGTTTCAAACAAGCAGCTAGGACAATACCAACTCACAATCTCCTCTGTAATACATCGAGGGCATTTGATCTGGTGGCACTCCTCGCAGTAGAGAAGCTGTTCAGGCGGATATAGCGAGAAGTTGGACCGTGGAGAGCGGGGATCAAAGGTTTGCTCTTCGTCCTCATCCTCTCCTTGTTGTTCCTCTTTTACTGACAATTTTTTATCTTGGTCTGTGTCCACCCGCCCTGTTGGTGGTTTCTGCGGCGATTTCTGCGGGGACTCCCTCGACCTCCGCTTCCTGGCTGGGTCAGGCACCGGGGTATCTGCGCAGGGGCATGATATGTAGGTATATGGGAAAGGGCGCGACATTTTGATATGGAGGGGGGAGCGAGATAGTATGTGGTAACTTTCGAGGCGTGTACTTGGATCAAATCATGCTTCGTCTCTGTGGGGGTCGAGAGCTGAATAGCGTGATGGGGTAAACAGGTTGTCGGATAGCAGATTCGTAGCTATAGTATGGCTTGTCTCTCGAGCAAAAATACCTTGATTTTCAGGATCCCAACGTTGTTGCGCCTAATCAGAGACCCTGAGAGGAGTATGTTGGCGCGTGGGGACTTATTCGAGCAGGGGTCACAATGGCTCTGCCACGTTCAATCCACTATGCACAATATGAAAAATATGCACAATGTATTAATAAGAGGTGAGACCGAGTCAACTGTCTCGAAAACACCAATTGCAAGAATTCCACGGTCTGCGGAGAGGGACCTATTCCGCATCAACAATCGACGTCAGATCCCGCCATTTTCTGCCCACTATCGCCGCAAAACCATGGACTTGCATGCTTGAGAGTTTAATATCCTTCATATCCATTCTACAGCCACAATGATACCTCTACAGACATTTCGTGCTAGCCTTTCAAGGCGATGCTTTACCCCAACAACTACTATCCGAAAATATGCCAGCCAGACGCCCGGTAACCCAATGCTCGAGGTCTTCAACCGCAAAGTCAAGCACCTCCAAAAAGATCGGGCAGCCCGGAATGTCGAAGAGAGTCGGAAAGTCGACTACCTGAAAGATGAAGTAGCAATGCGGCTATGCGAGCGCTTACTGGTAAGACATTGGACGAATCCGGCGCAGGAAAAAAAATTCGCCTACTGACAGAGCTTCTCTCCCCATGAATAGGACATTAAACGTGACTTCCCAAACGTCCTAGATCTAGGAGCAAACAGCTGCAACATCGCCCGAGCTCTCACATCCCCCAATATCGACTCAGTCATGCCGGAAGGAACCATCACACCACCACTATCGAAAAAGATCTCGAAGCTGACATGCGTGGAGACATCGCGTGCACTGCTCCACCGCGACGAGAACGACCAGTTTAACAAGGAGATCAACATCCAGCGGGATGTGATTCCGGACTTGGAGACGTTGCCGTACGCACCGAACAGCTTCGACGCCGTGCTCTCATCACTTTCGATCCACTGGATCAACGACCTGCCCGCGCTCCTTGAACAGGTGAACACAATACTGAAGCCCGATGCGCCATTTATCGCGGCCATTTTTGGTGGCGATACGTTGTACGAGCTGCGCGGGTCGCTGCAGCTGGCTGATATGGAGCGGCGCGGTGGTGTGAGCCCGCATGTGTCACCTCTGGCCGATGTCAAGGATATCGGAAGCTTGTTGGGCCGTACTGGGTTCAAGATGCTTACTGTTGATGTCGAAGATATTGTGGTTGAGTTCCCGGATACCTTTGCGCTCATGCAGGATTTGCAGGCGATGGGTGAGGGGAACGCAATCATGAACCGTGACTCGGCACCGCTTTCGCGGGATGTCTTGCTGGCTAATGAGGCTATATATCGTTCTCTGCATATGGAAGAAGGTGCGCGTGGTATCCCAGCCACGTTCCGATTGATCTATATGATTGGATGGAAGGTAGGCGAGGGCCAGTCGCAGCCGTTGCAGCGTGGCAGCGGTGATATTAACCTCAAGGATGTCCTTGAGGGTGGAGACCTTGATAAACCATAAAGAATGGAAACAAAAGGGCAAAGGGAAAGAGCCCAACATTTTGTCACAGTATAATAATGTAAAACTACGCTTAAAGCGACACTGGAGAGATATCATCCACATATGTATGGAATGCAAACCAAGCCTCTACCAAGAAGACGAGAACAAAAACACAGTCAGAATGTAAATCATAAGAAACGAACCTCCATCCGATGCTGTTCTCTTCGCTCAAACCGTCCTACGATCAGTCATGACCCGCACAATCGACCCAGTACCAGCAATCTCCACAAGTCTCTCGTGCCAGCTCAGCAAAACGCTCATCTGCTGACCACCACCACCTTCACCCAAATTGCGAGTCTGGATCTGCGAGAAGCCCGTATCCTGAGGCGAAACCGACTTCTTAGGCGACTGGGCACCGCTACCAGGAGCAGCCGACGACATTCCCTTGTACCTGTAATAAATAAATCAGCAATCAAACCCACAACTTTCCATCGAACGGTTCCTCTCCCGGCACCCGAAACGGTAGTTCTACATACAGGTATTTCATCAAGCAATCCGCCCGCTCAGCCCCGCCATCCCCACTGCACACGCCCTCAAGGATGCGGGTCATCTCGCCCTGGCGGATACCCTGCAGCACATCGATGACGGTAGCAAGATGCACCTCCTTGGCGCGGTCGTCGCCGCCCAGCGGCGCCGTGTCGAGGACCGTCCGCAGAGCACCCTCTGGGTCACCGCCGCGCAGCATCTGGCGCACCTGTGTCGCGGCATTGGCGGCGTCACTAGCGCTTGCGGCTTGGGGGAGTGTGGCGGGAAGGAGGGATTCCATGGGAAAGTTGGCCGAGGACTCGGGGTCTAAGGCGTCAATGTTGATGGTGCGGTAATTGATTTGCGACATGGTGGCGGTTGAGTTTTGATTGAGGGCGGGGATATAGTGAAAACAGGCCGTGATCAAGATTTGGGCCAAGCCTGTCGAGTGGGTTTGGTATTGGGGGAGCTTTGTGAGGAGCTGCCTGTTGGTTCGTTTGGTCTATCGGTGCGGTGGGCGGAAGCGGGGAGATTAGTGACGTGGGAACGTCTCTGAGCGGTATGAG